GTGGAGAAGGGAGCCACCTGGAAGGTGGCCTCAGAGGGCCACAGCCAAGGGACAGTTGAAAGAAGGGAGGGGTCCCATTGAAGGAAGCGCTTTGTCAAGAAAGGAAGTATTGAGACGGTCGTGGCTTCTTGGGGGGCAGCCGGGGACACCCTCATCTCCAGCCACACTGGCTACTCCACACTCCCGTCCTTGACAAGCCTCCCACTTGCATACCACCCAGACCAGAGGTCCACTTCACTTCCTCACCATTCACTCTTCCTCACTCGTCCACGGAGCACTGAGGACTTCACAAGGACCTGTGTGCTGTGTTGTGGCGAGCTGGGTGGATGGCAGACCCCGTGCGGCTCACGTGTGTGTCCACAGGGACCACAGATGAGGGGAGGCTGAGCCCAGGGAAGTGTGACAGCATCCCGCCACTGAGGACAGATGAGGGGCTCCAGGCGCTCATAACCCCACACCTGTAGCCTGGAAATCCTCTGAGCCCTGAGGTCCCCGCAGACCCACACCTGGGGTCCCTCAACTCAGCCATGGGCGCTCCTTCTACCGAGCCTTCTTTCCGACCTGTTTTTTTTTTTTTTAATTGAGGTAAAATTCACATAACATCGAATTCACCATTTTAAGCATCTTAAAGTACACAATTCACTGGGTTCCAGCAGACTCACAGAGCCACGCGGCCATCACCACTGTCTGATTTCAGAATATTCCCATCACCCGGAAGGACCCCTTCCCTCCCGTCAGCAGGCACCCACCGCCCTCCCTCTGCTTGGCAACAGCGGCACATCCGTTCTGGGGCACACAAGGTCTCTCCAAGTAAGCAGTTTCCTTCACGTTTAATTTTCATCATACACATTTGCATTTCTCTATCTCATATATTGAATTTAGTTTTTCTGGGGAACTACCTCTTTTCCTCTAGGCCTTCAATTTTATGGCCGTAGAATTCATTTAAAATTCTTTTAAAGGGGATCCTGAGTGGCTCACTCGTTGAGCGTCTGCCTTCGGCTCAGGTCATGATCCCGGGATCCTGGGATCGAGCCCCACATTGAGTTCCCTGCTCCGAGGGCAGCCTGCTTCTCCCCCTCCCACTCCCCCTGCTTGTGCTCCTTCTCTCAACGTCTCCCTCTGTCTCTCTCTCTGTCAAATTAATAAATAAATAAAATCTTTTAAAAAATAATAAAATAAAATTCTTTTAAAGATATTTTTAAATCTCCTCCAGTTTTTAGTTGAGTCTCTTGTCTCATATTTATTTTCTGTGCTTTCTTTGTTTACTAATCTGGTTTATAAGAGATTTGTCTCTTCCTTTGGTCATTTTAAAGAACCAGCTCTGGGATCCCTGGGTGGCTCAGTCTGTTCAGTTCAGCTCATGATCTCAGGGTCCTGAGATGGAGTCCCACATCAGGCTCCCTGCTCAAGAGGGAGCCTGCTGCTCCCCTTGGTCATGCTCAGTCTCTCTCGCTCTCTCTCTGTCTCCCTCTCTCTCAAATAAATAAATAAAATCTGTTAACAAAATAAAGAACCCGTCTTGGGGCTTAATAATACTTTGTTTTGGTCCGTTTGCTATTTATTGACTTTCATTTTTGTCTCTAACAGTCTCCTCTTCTTAACTTGTGGATTTTATAAAAGGTAATGGGTCAGTTCCTTGCTTCTCTGTCTCCCCCCGTCAGTGGCTGTGTAGCTGCCTCACCTGCTTCTGGGTACATACCAGCCACCATGAGGACCTATCCTCATCTCCTCTCCCTGGTTAGCTTCTTTCTTTTCCACTCCAGCAATGTCATGCAGAATCTCTTTGTCTTCCAAAATCCATCCTCCCCTTTTGCGATGGTAACTTAGGGAGCCCCCCATTTTCAAGGAATGCCCTCCCACCCAAGACAAAAACTACAACTCCCAGCATTCTTTGAGGCACACCTGCCCATGTGACTGAGCTCTGGCCAACGAGATGTGAGGAGAAGTGACGGGGGTGGGGGGGCGCATTGAGGGGAGGGCTCACCTCAGGATGGTGGATCAGCAAGTGGGTGGAGCTTGGGGTCTCCTAAAACATCCTGCTGTCTGGCCACTGCCTAGCCCAGTCTTCTGTCCAGGAAACTCACTTCCACCGTGTTAACCCATCCCATGTTGGTTCTGCCATATAGCTAAATCCAAATGGTTCAGGGGGCTTTTAAGAGGGGCCCGGGGGAGCTGTCAAATTTTCCTTAATTACTTGTAGTTTGTCTAGGCCATGGCCAGAGAGAATCTCCACCTTTTAAACTCTGCTTAGGGTGTTCTTTGAGATGAAGCACATCATCAATTTTTATAAATGCTCAGCAGGTCTTGGGAAGGACAGGACTCTCCACTTGAAGTAAGCAATGCCTCGCACACACTCATTAAACTGAGTTTGCTGGTTCAGGGACTCCGTTTCTCCAAAACCTGGCCAACTGGCTGAGCCATGGGACCGGTCTGATTCTGAAAACGACACATCACATTTCCTATCGGAATTCTGCTTGTATTTTTAAATGACATGGCTTTACATCGTTAGCCGCTAAGTTGATTAGTGCCTAGCACAGACTTCTTATTTTATCTTAGTCGTAAATTGTTTGCTCCTCCGTCTTTCTCTCCCATTTCCTGTATTTGAGCCTCAGGCCCATGTCCTCTGTTATAGGTGAAGCCCTCATCACTTTGGTGCCTGCATTTCTCGGCTTTACCTCACATCCTGTGTCACTTGCTTTCAAGCATGCTTTCCTGAAGTACACACAGCCTTGTGTGTGTGTGTGTGTGAGAGAGAGAGAGAGAGAGAAAGAGAGAGAGAGAGAGAGAGAGATGCGGTGGTCTCTGCATTCTTAGCAGAGGGTTTAGCTCATGTGTGTGGCTGGCGGTCTGCATTTTATTCCTTCCATGTTCTCGTGCTTTCATTCTGTTTTCCTCGCTGTGAGTTTTGTTTTTGTTTTTGTTTTTGCGTTTTCCTACTTCTGCTGCGGCTCATGATGCTGTTTGTCCTCCTGTTCTCTGTGGGGGTATCTGAGAGCAATACTGGGCCACCTTCCCTTTCCCTACCTCCCCATTCAACTGCCAGCTCTTTCCTAATGATGCCCGTGCCTGCATGCTCCCTTTGGAACCTCCTCCCTAGAGGAGAGCTGCATGGCAGGCCCTGGGGGGTCCCCACTTCTCACTGAATCCCAAGCCCCCACTGTTCTGACATCCCCTTCAGTCTCACAGTGAGCATAGCAGGTGGCTCCCTGCTTTTCATCTCCACCATGTGGGGGTCTGTCCTAAGTTCCATCCAAAGAAGAGATCATAGGAGCTACCAAAATGGTCTCCAGCTGGCGGGAAATAGGGAGCCCATCGTGTCCCCACCTGACCCTCCCACTGCCCACAGCCACCCTCACGCCTCTCATGTCACCTCTTTCCTCATCCTGGCCACCCCCACCGTGTCACCAGGGCCCAAGCCTCCGTTCTAAGAATGAACAGGATGGCCCACTGAGTTCTTGGCCTTCAAGCCCACTCTAGGGTCTTCTCCAGACAGCTGTGGACATCAGGAGTCTCACAGAGCTCTCCTGCAGGAGGGACTCAACAGCCAGCAACACACTCTGAGGTCCCAGGCAAGCTGCGCAAACTCTCTGGGCTGCACCCACAATTGTAAGGCAGGACGAACAGTCCATTCCACGTAGACCTGGGACACAATGGAGCCAAATACATGCTGACCTTCAGGACCACTGAACATGGGGCAGAGGTGGGATCAAGAGCCAGGAGGATGTCTGATGAACACTCCAGATCAGGACCGATATCTACGTGCCAGCTTTGTGACCCACTGTGTCCAGGGCAGATTGAGGATGTGAGGATGCCCGCGCCCCTGCTCCATAGAGCAGAGCCCCACAGAGGGCTCCGGAGAGCCCCCCTGGGGCTGGGCGCACACCTGCTTCTCTCGGCTTGCCCTTGAAGCTTCCTGAGATGACACCGGCTAGGGGCAGCCATCAGACCGTGCTGTTGGGGGGTCTAGTGGCATAGCCAGGAGCAGCCAGGAAGCTGCCGCATTCCAGACAAACCTTCTGTGATGAGTTCAGCTGTGTTCCCCCAGAAGGTGTATGTCGAATTCACCTCCAGCATCTGTGACCCTGACTGTATGTGGAGGCGGGGTTCTTCCTAGAAGTCATCAAACTAAGATGAAGCCATTAGAGTAGCCCGGATCTGATGGGATGGGTGCCCTTATGAGCGGGAAAGGGGGACAGAAAGGCAGACAGGCATAGACAGAAGATGGCTCGAGGATGCAGGGAGAACCGGCTGTCTATGAGCCAAGGATCCTTCCTTCGCAGCCTCAAGAGAACCATCCCCGTCCACACCTTGACCTTGGGTGTCCAGCCTCCAGGGCTGTGTGCCTCCCTGTGTGCCTCCTTGAGATCCTACAACCCCATACCTGCCTGACCATAGAGAGATGGACCAGGAACAGTCCTGGGCGCCTGGCGGTGGGTCTCGGGACCTGAGTTGGTGGCATCGTAAGGATGAGAAAAGAGATAAGGGAGATGCTTCCTGCTGGAGTTAGGACCCCATCAAAGCCTGGGAGCCTCCAAGGGTGACCCTTGGGTGATGCTATGGTCCCAGAGCTCTCGACAGCTCCCCTGCCCTTAAGGTCACCTGCTGCCCAACCCTCCGCTCCTCACAGCCAGGCTCTCCTGACCTTCCTCCTTTGCATCCCACCTCCACATACTCGTAAAGTCTCTGCTTTTGGTTGGTCCTGCACCCCCCACCGTGGGCCACCTCCCCAGGAGCCTCAGTGTCCCCCTCAGTAAGGCAGAGGACCTCTCCTGCTTCAAGGCCTCAGGCTCCAGCCCCACTCCAGACTGCCTGTGGGACAGCAGGGGCATCTGCCCCTGGGACCATCCAGGTGGACGAGGCCAGCATGCCTCACGCCCCAAGCCTCTCACCACGGCTGACAGTGAATAAAGTGACTTTAATAAAACAAAAACAGCTTTACAGGGTGTCTTCGGAAGACAAAGTCAAGAGCCTGGAGCCTCTGGGCTGGAGTGGGGGGGCATCTAGTATTTGAGAAGCCAGCGAGGCTTGTGCTCGCTCAGGGACGTAAAGTAAGACCACCACCATGGCTTGCTCCCGCCCACGGAGGGCTGCCTCCGCCCCCCGAGGGGCTCCTGGCCAGGCTCCTCGGGCTCCCCATACCGGCTGGCACCTCCTGGAGGGTCTCGGAGCCCAGACCCACTTCTCCGTGGCCCGAGGAGGAGCTGCTTAGGTCCGGTGCCCAGAGGCTGGAGAATGAAGTCCACACGGCCGGCCCTCTTCATCCGGGCAGGGATGGTGACCTTCTTGATGACCTTGGAGTAGCCGGGAGCCTGAGCTATGACGATGTGGGACCCCGGAGGCAACAGTCTCCAGTAGTCACCATCTGGGGCTGCGAACACACAGAACAGAAGCAATTCTCAGACCGAGGTTCCCATTCGGGCTTGGGGTGCCAAGACGTGGGGGTCCAAGGGGCATCAGCCTGGAGGGCAAGTGGACCCCAGATTTGCACTTGCCTCTGTCCTGGCCGGGAGCACCCTTACCACCCGCTTCCTCAGCCAAACTCCTATTCATCCCTCAAAGCCCATGAAGGCAGAATGGAGCGGCCTCTTGGGGCACCGAGACGAGGGACAGCTTGAGGGAGGGAGCCAGCCACCACAGCTCAGGCCCCAGGAAAGGGGCTCACCTGTGGTGATGTCATGGCGGATGCCCTTGACCACAATCCGGGCATTGTTGACCGGCTTGCCGAATTTGTCCATCACCACGCCTTTGATGCCACGGTGCACCTGAAAAAGAGGAGAGGGAGGGCGTGGGTATGGTGTATGCTCTCCAGAGGACCGGGTGGCCCAGCCCAGCCAGCTCCTGTCCATCTGTCCTCAGAGCCCCGCTCTGGGTTCACGCCTGACCCTGCAGTTCTGCTCGAGGGTCCGCTGACCAGCTCTCCTGGGCCAGGGGTGCTAAGCAGAGAAACCTGGAGCTCATCTCAGCTCCCCTTTCACATGCAGAGCGGGTTGGTGCGGACACTCCTTCCTGAGTGCGGGCACCACGAGGACACAGGCCTTCGTGTCGGTCCCAGCCAAGGCACCAACCACTGTTTGGTCTTGGACAAGTTACCCTGCCTCTCAGCACTGTCTCCCCCCATCTGTAAAATGAGCCTCTGGTGTTGCTGGGGAATGTGCATCAACACCCGTGAAGGCCCGCGGCAGAGCCGGGATGCGGGACCTGCCCACCATCCGTACAGACCGGTCCCCATGCCACACGCTCAAGTGGAGGCCTTCTGGTGAGGAAGCTGCACCCCACGGAGGTCCCCCTTAGAGCTGTCTGGGCCTGTTCACACTCCTCCTAAAAATGTCGACAATAAACAAGCCAACTCACCCTTGCTCTATGGGACTGCAAACAACCTAGGGCCCACAGGTCATGTCAAATGAGGCCAAGGGGACTGGGTGGGAGGGCAGAGAGACTCTTCCCTTCTCTCCCAGGAGGATGCCCCCCACACCTGCAGGGCCACTCCAGGCCTCCAACCCCCACCCCCGTCCTGTCCCTCCTTTGTTCGGAACCAGCCAATTCCTCTCCCCCACGTTCCTCTTCTTCAGGAAGCTCTCCTTGACGATCGGTCACATCAGAGCCTTCCTCCGGGGTCCCCAGTGCTGGGCTTCCACACTCCCAGCCCTGATCTCACCGTAATGTTACGATCTGTCCTCCTCCCCCAAGCCTAGAGCACAGACCAGACACATAGTAGGGTGTCAGTTCATGTCAGCTTGAGTAGGCTAAGCGAGTCGCCTTCGGGCTGAGGAGTCACCTTCTGGCCGACCCAGGCACCAGGAGCCCTCTGGCAGGGACAGAGACGTGGTGTGCACGCCCCTCGTCTCCCCTCCCACCCCAGGGAGACGCAGACACCCACCCGAGGCCTGGTCAGCATCACTGTGAGGAAGGCCTCCATGGGCCATGACAGCCTCGATCCTTATCAGAAGACCCAGCACGGCCTTCCTGGGGCATCGTCCTCAGGGGCCGGCCACGCCCGGCTGCAGGACAGGCCTGCCACCCTTCCGAGCTCACTATTAAATCTTCATACCCTAAGACCTCACATACAATATCCACAGAGCAATCCCAGTCCCATTTAAGGCTCCTTAAAACTAATTTCCACCAGACAGCCGTAAAATGAAATGAGCAAGGGGTCTGGCCCAGACCCATTACTGAAGGGTGACCTGCCCCACGCCGAGAGAGGTCTCGGGCTTAGCCATAAAACAGAAACTCGAACAACACTAAAAACGTCCAGCTCTTATCTGGGCTTTGCTTTCTCTTCTACAGCGGCAGCCGTGGATCCGGAAGGCTCTGCTTGGTTCTTGCCTAGAGGAAGGTCCCTGATCTTTCTAGAAAGGACTCATTGACATGACTGAGGTTCAGGGCAGGCAGATACGAGTACAAGCTCTGGACAGTTTCTGGGCAACCCTGGGCAGGCCCTGTGCTGTCTGACCCTCTGTCTCCTCCTCTGGTCTTCTTGTGGCCGCTGAGAGCCAGGCTGGGGAGCCCACACGTGACCAAGGAGCCCCAGGCCAGCGCTGTCCTTCCCAGGCACCTGTCCCTCACCCCACAAAATGGGGCAGTCCCTTCAAACACCCAGGACTGGTGTCAGGACTGAATGCCATAGGTAGGAGCGCCAAGTGTCCCGTATTATGCATGTACATCCCCTCACCGTCCCCTTCGGGCAACCCTGTGTCTCCCTCAGGGCCTGCTTCTCCTGGGGACATGGTGCCAATGTGTGAGTCACCTGAGTCTTGAGAGTGCTCAGAAGAAAAGTCACTGAGGCGTCTGCAAAACTACACTGGGTTCTGCCCTCCCTCCCCCCACCCCGCCGTGTGCCTGACCCAGGGGGTTACTGCCTTCTGCCCCCCCCCCCCCACCACTCCCCTCAGCTGTGAGCCAGGCCAGCAGGCAGGACTGGGAGAGCACAGGACTCGGTCGCCCAGCTGCTGGGGGAACGCCTCCGGGATCCACTGATGATTGTTCTAGACACGTTCCCCTTGGCATCTGCTCAGCACCACCGCCTACTTCTGGATGAACGTGGCCCCCCCCATACAGCATTTAGCCCTCCCTCTCCCTGCCCCACCCCTCCCCCAGCAGCCAGTGCCTCTGAACCTGAGGGGCAGACATGCTCCAGGCCCTGCCACCCAGAACAGCACCTGAGGCCTCCCCGTCACCCAGTGCACAGTTTACTCCCATGTCCATGCTCCTCGCTGTGGCCTGGGGACCCTCCCATGCCGTCCCCCTGCCTGAGCTCTCTCACTACCTCGTTCCCCTACTTCTTCACAATGCAGCCCGGGTGTCACCTCCTCCAGGAAGCACCTATGATCTCCGAGGCTGGGTCAGGTGCCATCCCTGGGCCGCCTTGGTCCCTGCCTCCTCCCAGTCCGGTGCTATCCCTTTAGGCCGTGAAAGCCTCACTATCCTAGGGCCCCAATGCATGGCCCTGGAGGTCCCAAGTGCCCCCAGGGCTGGCTGACAGGAGGTGGCCAGCAGACAGCCAGAAGGCTAGCGGATAAACAAGTGAGGGGCAGTTGTGCCTGCAGTCTCGCCCCAGGCCAGGCTGCGCTGGCTGGCGGAGCGAAGCCGGTGGGTGGGGGTTGGCTCACTGTCTCCACGAAGTTCAGGAGCGGCTCCTTGTTGTGCTGCCAGAGCGTGTAGAGGGCCTCCTCCGGGGGGAACTTTATGCAGCCCAGCTCCACCGTGATCTCGAAGCAGTTGCTGTGCAGGTAGTTGAAGTCGGACATGCCTGCAGCGCAGGGGACGACCTGAGCGTGAGCCCATGCTCTCGACATCCATGCGCCTACACTCGACACCCACGTGCCCACAGTCGACACCCACGCGCCTGCCCTTGACACCCACGCCCCCCATACCCATGCGCCCGCGCTCCACACCCATGAACCCGCCCTCGACACCCACGTGCCCGCGCTCCACACCCACATGCCCACGCTCTGGACAACCACATGCTTGCGCTCGACACCCATGTGCCCGCCCTTGACACTCACAGGCGCCCACCCTCGACACTCGCATGCCCACGCTCTCGACATCCACGTGCACGCGCTCGACACCCACGCGCCTGTGCTCTCGACACCCACGTGCCCATGTTCGACATCCACGCGCTCGCCACTCCCCACTTCCGGCCGGGTGCGTGGGAGGCTGCTGCCCTTATCCCCACTTTACGGATGAACAGACTGAGGCCCAGGGCGCTGGCAGCTCTGACCCAGATCTCACGGGGGAAAGGGGCAGTGTTGGAGTTGCTCTTTGAATCCCAAGTGCGGTCTGGCACCCAAGTGCTCAGGCTTATGCTCCATCCGGTGTGCCCCTCGGTGGGTAAGAAATGAGCCCGCAGAGTTAAGCCCCTGGCCCGCTCCTGGCCTGGGCCTGGGTGACAACAGTGTCCATGTGCCTAGCCGGGCCCAAGAATAGCCCGGGAGAAAGGTCCCCAGCCCCCACTTCTGGGGAGAGCACAGGCTTTGCAAGGCTGGACAACCAGCCAATCCAGCGGCACAGAAAGGCTCTGGACCACCCATCCACCCATTCCTGCCTCCTCTGTCCATCTGCTGTTGGGAGAAGAAGCCACCCCTGCCCTTCAGAAGTCTGCAGCAGCTGCAACCAACTTAACCTTCATCCAGGCTCCAATCCACGCGGCCTCCTGTCCTTGGCCTCTGGCCCCCCGTCACCCTGTCCTTGGCCACTGGCCCCTGTGTTTTCCCTGGGTCTGTGCCCCTGTGTCCACGAGTCCGGCTACTCTCCTAGGCTCAGACCCACCTCTTGGGTCCCTTGCAGACCCTGGACATGGTGGGGTCATGCTCAAGACTCAGAGTCAGGGACCCAGGCGCCTGGGCTCTAGGACGGAGAGAAAGTGCCCTGTGCTCCTGGGAAAGGCCCACCCGGGGCCATCTCAGGGCAGCAGGGGCAAGGTGGCCAAGCAGGGGTGTGAGCTGGCTTCAGTGCAGGAACCGAAGGGGCTCTCCTCTCTGCCCACAACCCCGCCACCTGTGGCACAGATGCTGACAGGCCCTTGTCTTGCCCAAGCCCGGTTTCCTCATCTGCCAAATGTCCCAAATACTGAGTGTCATGCCAGGATGGGGGGTGGGGCAGAGCACAGGAGCAGGTGGGAGCCTGGCCCAGCAGGTGCTCTCAGGGCACACAGGGTCCCACGCACCCCGCTTTGCTCTGTGTGATGTCCACCCGGACACCCGGTTAACGTGAAACTTCAGAAAAACAGTGAATAAAGTTTTAGTGCAAGTATATCCCATGCAGTATTTGGGACATACTTCTACAGTACCAAAAATGCTTCATGATTTTTCTGAAATTCAGGTTTCACTGGAGTCCTTCATTCCCTCCGGCACCCCTCCTATACCGCCAAGGGGCGGGAAAAATTGGTCACAAGTAGGGTCACGCAAGGTCAGAGCTCACAAAGTCCCCAGCAGAATGGGCATGGGGGCTGGCATAGAGCTCTGCCACACCTGTCACCTAGAACCTCAAGACAGCAGCAGAATTGAAGCCAGACCACGCCCTCATGGGGCTGTGATGCACCTATGCCCCTCCCCCACCTTCCAGAACTCTCAGAATCCAGCTCCCAGAAAGAGCTGTGGAGAGGAGATGCAGCCTCCCCATTTTGAGCCCCTCCCCGACACTCTCCCAAACCCCTCCCCTACCCATCCCACCTCAGCCCCTCCCAACCTCCCCCTCCCTTCTCACCGCCTCCCTCCCTCCACTCTCTCCTCCCTCCTCCTGCCCAGTCCCTCCCCACCCCCACCCCAGTCCAGCCCCCACTCTGCCCGCACCTCCAGTGAAGCTGTACCAGTCTGCCCCATTGATGATGCTGCCTCTCTTCAGGAAGTTGCCACCACACCTGTTCTCTGACCTGTCCATCATCATGGGGTGCATATCAGCATAGGCCCTGGCCAGCAACTTGAACATCTGGAAGGGAGACCAAGGGACAGGTTTCTCATGAGGCCAAGGCCAGAAGGTGGGGCGCCCTGCAAGACACCCTCAGTGCTGGGGCCAATGGGCTGAGGAGGGGTCTGCAGCACAGATAGGAAGGGGGAGTGGTGTCCTCGCAGATGGCATAGCACGTGCAAAGGCCTGGAGGCACAAGAGCCAGAGCTCAAGGCACCTGTGGTGGGAACCTGGCACATTGTGGAGCCCCTGCCCACCTGGCTGGGGAGGGTGGGCTTTCTCCCAGGAAGAGGGTGCACTGAAGGAAAGCAGGCAGGGCTCCCCGAGGTCAGCTTTGCAACTTCCCAGGCCCTTCCTGCAGAGGGCAGGCCTTGGGATAGGCAAGAGACTGGGGCAGGCCTCATTTTCACTGACGTCACCACTGACTCCTCTATGATAACCATCACCCCATGTTCCCTGGGGCACAACCTGTGCCTGTGGGAGCCCCCACCTGTCACCGCACATGTGCAGCGTCCACTGTGGTGGGTGGAGGGGTGCATCTGAGTGCATCCACGGCCCCTGCCCCCAGCGCAGTCCTCCCCCCATGCTACCCCCACACCAGGCAGGGGCACAGGTCCCCCCATGCCTGTGTCCCAGCACAGGACACGGGGTCTGCTCAGGGTGGCAGCTCCCAAGCTGGGGTCATGTGGATAACGGGCCTAGCAGACTGCCTGCCAGAGCCCCGTGGCCCTGGGAGAAGTCTGTCCTGGCCGGGGACCCCTCTGCAAAAAGGGGAAGGCTGGGCAGGTGGGGTCAGGCCAGAGCAAGGGTCTCTCCGGTGGGGTCCCAGGGACATACAAGCCACAGGCCCCGCTGGGAACAGGCCCGACCTGGCAGGCAGGTGTAAGACAAGGACGCCAGGAGGACAGCCCGCTGTAAATGAGCTAGGGGGCACGGGGGTGGGGGGGCTTTCTCTGCAGGAGCTCAAGCCAGAGGCCACGGGGAGGACTGGCCTGCCCAGCTCTGCTGCCTGGGACCCCGCAGACGCTCTCACTCCCTCTAGCTGGCGGTGGGCTGGGCTGGGGAGGGTTTAAGGGGGAGGACAGAGCTTGAGCCAAGCTTGGGAGAAAGATTTTGGCAGAAGGGACAGGTAAAGGGGAATAGATGGCCCAAATACCACCAAGAGGTGCTGGCTCTCATCCACAGGGCACCACGAGAGTTTGGGGGAGGAGACGTGGGACACCCTGGCCAGCCCCTCCTCCCACGCCCCTGCCCCGCAGGCCCCCTCCTGGGACCCTGGTTTCCACAGAGACCACTGCTGGCTGTGAGCCTGAGCGTGATCGATCCATGATTGATGGCTGGTGGGGAGGACTCTGGGTTTTCTGACTCTGGTGGGACTCGTTGAGGCGAACTCCCCCCAGCCCCCACCCCGCCGCTGGGACATCTTCACGCATCTGCCTCCGGATTCAGACCCTGGGCCTGACACCAAGGGCTCCCTGCTGCTGAGGGGACACGGGCCTTGTCCCACTGTCGGCCCTGCCCTCTGACAGCATAGGGGTCAGGGGCAGGCCCACAGGGGACACCACCCAGCCTGGGGCACGTGCTAGGCTCTGAGCATGGACCATGCTAGCTGCAGGGGCGTGTGGTGGGGAGGGAGGGAAGGGATGAAGCAGTGCAAGGAGGAAGGGGCACAGGAGCAAGCAGCCCGGGGGACCCAGGAGTTGCCTTCCCTGCTGTCCTGGAGGCAGGGCCCTCTGCCTGCTGTCCCTGTTCTGCCTCCTGGTCCCTGCTGGGTGCCTGTGGGAAATCACCTTCTCCTCCAGGGCAGCCCTCCTGAAGGCCAGGGCTGGGCTGGGTCTTCACCCTGCACACCTGCGTGTGCACACAGACACACACCACCTCCCGTCCCTGGCCTCCTGGCAACCCTCCATCCCTGTCCAGCCCGCTTCTGGCTCTGCCTCCCGACCTGGACGACGACCCTCTGTGCGAGGGCTGGTCCTGCTTGACGAAGACCAGCAGCACAGGGTGCGGGGAGCGGGGGAAGGCTGAGCTGACCTGCGTGGCTGAGGGAGGGGAATGGGCACTTGTCCCCACAGCCCCCCACTCCCCGCCCTGCCCCGACCCTCAGCAAACTTGCAAGGCCCTGGAGAAGCTCTGAGGCGGCCAGGGTCAGGCGGACACCATGCATGCTGCAGCACTGCCCTCTGCCGGCCTCGCCTGGAACCCCACCCTCTCCCTGCGCTAGCAGGGAGGGCACTGGGCTAAGGTTCTCACTCCAGGGGCTCCCAGCTGGGGACACAGATGGAAGGTGGGGCGTGGCCTTAGGAAGGACGAGATGCTCCCAGATGCCTGGAAGGCTTCCTGGAGGAAGAACCTTTAGAACTGGGCCTGGAAGGCTCCTACGGCTTCTGTAACTGCGTGGGTCTCACTGAGCTCGAAAAGGGAAAAGGCCAGGCCAGCGCCTAGGCCGCCTGGGCCCCGCTCCCCCTGTAGCCTCCCCTGCACACACAGCAGGCCCGCCCCCTCTCACCTTCTCATCGGGTGTAGGAGAAAACATCTTTTCTTCCTGGGGGTGCTTGGAGAAGTCAAAGGGGTAGGACACCACAAGGTCGCCCCCGTGGAGGCTGGCTGAGAGCACAAACGGGGTGGTCCGCATCCATTTCATTATTGCTTTGGTCTCGGGCGCCACCTGCCCAGCACGGGCAAGGCCATGGTCAGGACCAGACACATCCCTGCTGGTTGCCTCCAGCCATCTCTGGGCCCACCCTCCCTGCCACAAGGCCCTGGCTCGGCCCCCACCCAGCCCTCAAGAATCCCTTCAGATGCCACCAGCCTCTCCCACTGGCCCACACCCCTGCCTGAGACTCACTTCCCCACCACCCCGGGGCCATCACTTCCTCTAGGCAGTTGGCCCGGGAAGCTGTCTCTGAGTACCCGCCAGGCCTAGGATGTTTTCCATACGTCTTCTCTGAACCCCAACACCCCATGTCCCAGGCAGGAAGCAGAGACTCAGAGGCTCAGACTCCCCTGCCCTGGGGAGACCAGGCCCGCGGTCCCGGAATAACGAGAGACCCCTTGAATGCAGCACGGTGCGCAGGGGGCGGGCTCGGGGACGGCTCCTACCTTACCCCACCAGTAGTGCTGCGGGATGGGGATGTGGTCACTGCGCACGCTGCGGGACTCAGCCAGCCGGTAGTACTCGGACGTCAGGTCAGGGAAGTTGCGGTTCAGATCCAAGTTCTGCGCGTTCTGCCTCCCGCTTGTCCACCCATTGTAGCCAGCTCCCTGGAAGCACAGGCCACCCCCACCTGGGGGTCAGCACACCCCACCCCAACCGTTTCTGTAGGGAGGCCACGGGGCCGGGCTGGGTCGGAGGCCAGGGCTGCCTTGTGTCATGAACTTGGGAGCACGTCCAGCCAAGCTGTCCTTTACCTCCTCTGCCATCCATCCGGCTCCTCCCATCCAGCCTCCTGACTGAGCCTCCAGCCTCAGGGCCTTGCCCTGGCCGTTCCCTGGCCTGAATCCCCCCAGTAGTTACGTATACTGCTTGCTCCCCACCCCTGCTGGGGCTCTGCTCCAAGTCACATGGGCGAGCTTCCGAGCCTCCAGCTACTGTGAGATCTCCCCTGCCCTGCCTTTCCATCAGATCTCTCTCTCGAGCACATCCTCTCATTCCCACACCTCAGAGTTATGGGTGTCTGCCCCTGAGCCTGAGTAGGATCGTGCCGATGCTGATGCCTGCTGAATGCCTGTCACCTAGAACGGCAGGTGCACACAGACTCTGATCACTGCTAGTGAAGGAGCAGATGGGAGGCTGTCTAAGGCAGTAGCCCATGGGATCTGGCATAGAGGGCACTCACCTCAGCAGCTGCCACCTCGTACCCGTCGGGGTTCATGGAGGGTAGCAGGTGAATGCGCGTGGTGTTGAGCAGGCGCTGGATGCGGGCACTGCCCAACAGGTATTCGGTGCACAGGTACTGGGCCAGGTAGATGAGCATCTCCCGCCCCGCCACCTCATTTCCATGGATGTTGCCGATGAGCTTCACCTCGGGCTCCACTTGGGGGAGATATGGGGACCTGAGCGGTCGTCTCAAACCCTAGGGTCCCCAGAGACTTGAGGGCCCAATAAAGCTGGATGCTTTGGGACCTAGTCATTCTTGTTTTGACCCCAACATCTCGGTGACTCATGAGATCTCATCAAAGTCACGACTTACTAAGCTCATTCCTTAAGTTTAGCCACAATTATTAGCAAAACACATCAAGGGTATTAATAACAATGTAGGTTATCATTGCTCGGTGTGAATTTTATTCATGGCCACTTTCTATATTTGTGTAGTAAATTAAGGTGTACAATGGTGCTTAGATGGGAAGACAGGCCTCAAATGGAAGGAAGGAAGGAAGGAAGGAAGGAATCTAGGAAGGAAGGATAGATGGGCGGATGGATTAATAGGTGAAAGGATGGAAGATGGATAGAGGGTTGGATAGGTGGGTAGGTGGTTACATATTTCAATAGAAGAGTGGAAGGATGGATGGATGAAGGATGGATGGATGGATGGGCGGATGGATGGATGTTTGGATGTTTGAACAGAAGGATGGATGGGTGAGAGATGGAAGGATGGATAGTGGGATAGAAAGATGGGTGGAAGGATGGGTAGAAAGATGGAAGGATGGATGGATGGGTAGATGGATATTTGGGTATTTGGATAGAAGGATGGATGGGTGAAAAATGGAAAGATGGATGGAAGGATAGAAGGATGAATGAAAAGGTGGATAGAAAAATGAAAGGATGGATGGAGGAATAGAAGGACAGATAGATGGATAGGTAGATGGATGTTTGGACATTTGGATAGAAGGATGGACAGAAAGATGGAAGGATGATTGGATGGATGGATATTTAGATATTTGAATAGAAGGATGAATGGAGGAATAGAAAGATGGATGGATGGATGGATGGATGTTTGGATATCTGGATAGAAGGATGGATGGGTGAAAAGTTGGAAGGACGGACGGAGGGATAGAAGGATGGATGGATGGAAGGACAGATAGAAAGATGGACGGGTGATGGATGGATAGGTAGATGGATGTTTGGTTATCTAGATGGAAGGATGGCTCAGTGGATGGATGGGTGAGTGGAATGTGGATAGAAAATAAGAGTAGACCAGGGGTCTGGCAGCCTTACTACTGTGTGACCTCAGGCAAGTCAACTCTCTTCTCTGAGTCTCACATGGCTCATCCGGAAAATGGCATCTCTGACCCTGGCTGTGCGCAGCCCAAGGACCTGTAGCCATGGGAGCAAACACTCGTGTCCCTCCTGCCTTCTGAGGGTACAAATGACCCTGAGGCTTCCCACAATGGTCATTTCCTTTGACCTTCTCACAGGGGACATCCCTCACCACAGTCCAAAGCTGCACACCAGTCTGAGATGGGAGGAATCCTATCTTCATCCAAGAGTGTCCCACGAGCTGGAGGGGCAGGAGGCAGGGTGGGACAAGGAGGCTGGGGTGGGGCCAGGTGATCTCTGTCATGAGCTTTGGGCTCATGACATCCATGCTGCCCAGATATGAGGATGAAAATCAGGCTGAGTGTAGTGAACCCAGCAAAGGTACCAGAGCCACTTAACCTCAGATGGCATATTTTTTCCAATTAAAAAACCAAGGGTCCAAAGGGAACTACTTATGGATTGACCCCTGTGCCTCCTACGGTCATGGGGATAGACCAGCTGAGGACGGGGCCAAGGAAGGGCTCCTGGCAGAGGCCAGAACTGGGCCCCTGTGCCCTGATGCCCTCAGTGCCAAGGAGGGGTTCACAGTGGTCTTCAGCTCACTACCTGGGACACAGACCTCCCAGCCAGAGGCTGAGACTTTGCTAGAATCGCTTGGATTCTCGAGCCAGCCCCCTGAGCCCCAGCCCCTGCTCCAAGATCCAGCTTCCTGGTGAGCTCCGTTCAGCACCCCCACAATGGAGGGCAGTGAATGGGGGGGTTGCAGGGGGGTCTGACCTCCCACTTTGTTGGCACCAAACCAATAAAATCTAGCATTTTCCATGTCGCTCTGCCCCATCTCAAAACAAGACCATTGAGCCTGATGAGTTGAAATGGACTTGGTTTTTGAAAAGGACGACATGCTTCCTTCAGATCATTCTGGGAGATTACGTTCACCAAGACGCTCCAAGGAACCAATGTGGAGTGGCCAGGACCAAGCGTGCACATACTTGCCTGGGTCCGAGCGTGCCAGGGAGAGGTTGCGAAAAGGACAGAATGCACAGAGCACAGTTACATTTCCCCAGAGACAGACAAGGGTCCACATGCCCACGGCCACCAGGAACCCCCTTGCTTCTCTTCCCCTGACTTGTGGGGGAGACACTCCCCCGGATGGAGCCCCCAGCTCCCATCTCCCCGTTGTGGGATGTGGCCATGCGCCCCAGGGCAGCAAGCAGAGCACAGACCCTGCCTGCTCCCTGTCCCCCACCCCTGCCGTGCGCTGGACCTGGGCTTGCGCGCCCCAGAGCCCTTTCCTGGGAGCTGGCCCGAATGCAGACATCTCCCCTGGGCTTTCGCCAGCGGCAGTGGCTTACTCAGCTCATGCTGGCCGGGCCGGGCCGAGAACTCGATGACCAGCAGCTCCTTGCCGTTGAAGCTCCGGCCAATGCTGTAGGTCTTGGCGATGTGGGCGCAGCGGGCCGCCGTCCGCCGCAGCACGCGTACCATCTGTGCGTAGGAGTGGTGTGTGAAGTGGATGAAGGTCGGCGGGAGGCCCGAGGGCGGTGCCTCCTCCGTGTCCAGGCCTTCTGGGGAAGAACGGGGGTGTTGGGGGGGAGCCACCAGCTGCCCTCAGTTTCCCTCACTGCCCAGCGTGGCTGTCCCTTCCCCGCCTGGCTCCCCCACAACCCCTGGGACCCTGGTCACCCATCCCCCCGCGCCCTCACACCCCCTCCCCTGCCACACTCGGAAGCTTGGGGGTCAACCTGTTTCTGTCTTCCGTTAAAATCCCCTTTATGCTGCCTATTATCTACAGCTGTAAGGACACCTGAAGCCGCCACGGTGAGGAGTACAAACAGTGGCTGCGGAAAGCGTATGAAATAAGAGTCAGGAGACAATAAAGGCGAAGACACAGCCACAGAAACCACGACCCCAGGGAGACCACCGTCTGGCGGGTGGCCCCCTGACTCCAGAGGCTTTGTTTTCCACAGACACTTAGCTCTAAACCTGGTGCCGGTGGAGGTTCCTAGTCGACTCTGTCTACGCTGCTTCCTGGTGGACGTGGCCTCAGTGCCTTGTCAGTCCAGCACCCTCGGCTCAGAAGGGCTCCGTAGAGTCCACCAACCATGACTATGATGACAGCAAGGGTCATCACTGATTACTAACCCAGCAGTGAGGGTGCCAGAGCAGGGCAGGGTGGGGAGGGGAGGGAGGCAGGGAGAGTGGAGGGAGAGGCAGGGCAAGGGAGGAGAGGGAAAGTGGAGGGAGGGAGAGCAGGAGGGAGGGGAGAGAGTGGGAGGTGGGGAAGGAGAAGGGAAGGGGAGGGGAAGGGGAGGGAGAGGAGGGAAGAGTGGAAGGAGGTGGAGGCAGGGGACAGAGGGGAGAGAGTAGGAGGTGGAGAAGGAGAAGGGAGATGAGGGAAAGGGAGGGGAGGGGAGAGGAGGGAGGGAAGCTTTACCCTGTACTCTAAAAGGTCTCCTTCAGAGGAGCCCTGGTCTTCCCAGCCTGGCCCCATCCCTCTGGCTAAGGCCCAGGTGCCCGCCCCTCTCCCTGTCTCTGGACTGAAGATGTGGCTCCTACAGGCTGGTTAAGGGTTAATCCTTTGCCCCAAGCCTCTCACTGGCCCTGTGGTTTTCTTTCTGCTCAAAAGGGTTTCGAGGGAAGAAGAAAGCAGACAGAACCAGCAATTTGGTGGCAGAATTGCCCAAAATAATCTCTCTCAGGCCACCTCTATGGGCTTTCCCTGGGCAGTCAGGCTCAGCCCCATGGGGATGTCTGGTTCCCTTCCTCTGCACCCCTGCCCTCTCCCAGTGCAACCACAGCCAAGTCTCAGCCTCTGTGCATGCACACAGCTCCTATTAGCCACCGGAACTGTTCGGTTCAACCATTCTGTTCCTATCAGAACACGGCCCATGGGCCCCCCACATCTGCACACACGCCTGTGGGCGGCAGAGTTTCTCGGCCCAGAGCCTGCTCCGGGGTCACTCCTGCGCCCCCCACACAGCTAGTGAACCGGGGGGCCAGCGCAGATGGGTCCCAGATGTACATCCCCGTCCTCCCCTGCCATCATCAGCATCCCAGCACCCAGCATGCAGCCAAGCACACAGCAGGCGCTCAATGAATGCACAGACTGACCAGCGGTCTGACTCCACCAAGTGAACACTGATGCCCCTGCTGCCATTCCCAGTGCATTCCCAGGGCCTCCACTTTGTCCTCTGTGAAGTTGGGGTAAGAACCCACATTCGGGGGTGGCACCCAGCGCTAGAGCTTGTGAACCTGACCATTAGCGTGGTGATGTGAGAGCAGGCCATGCTGCGGACCATGAAGTCCTGCCCTGTCCAGGGCGGCCCACACCAGCCACGCCTGACCCCTTCCACTCCAGCTTCTATTCTTTCAAGTCAAATAAAACCAAAAGTGAGATCCTGGGCAGCCTGGGACCCATTCCAAGCACCCAGCAGCCACGAGTGACCGGTGGCTACTGGCTGGGATGGGCTCAGGAGAGAGTATTTCCACGGCCATGGAACGTTCTCCCAGCCAGGCCTGCTCGGGATTGTGCTGTGTCCCCGGAGGGCTGGGCTCAGGACACCTGTCCTTCCCACCTGCCCTGGAATACCCTGCCCCCCCAGAACCTCCTTGCATGCCTGCTGAGATGAGTGGCTCACCACTGCCCAGGACTGCCCATTCCCCCTCCCGAGACACCCAAGTCTGGCTCTCAGGGCCTCTCCCATAGCTTCCCTGAGCCCACTCTGGGGAGGCCGACTCCCTGCCTGTACCTTCTGGGCCACCTCTCTGGCCGGCCGCAGGCAATCCTGGCAGGCCTCCTGAGGGAAGCACCCTCCCCCCAGACCTCGGGGGGCCCACATACCTCGCAGCTTCTCCAGGGGGTCGTAGCAGCCCTCCTCCACGCTTGCAAAGTAGCGGCTGCAGTCCAGGAAGTAGGGCCAGGCCATGTCGATGGCGTCGAAGGCCGGCTGGCAGGCCTCCCGCAGCCCCTCACACACGTGCCGGCAGGGCCTGCGCACCCGGCCACCCTCGCAGCGGGGGGCCAGCACAGCACAGCCCAGCAGCCGCAGGTCCGGGTTGCACTGGCCCTCTAGGAGGTGGTGCAGGACACTCAGCAGGATGTACTCGGAGCTGGCCTCCACCGCCTCCCGGGACCGGTGCTCCAGCAGCGTGGGGAAGGCCGTCTGGTTGTAGGCCACGTCGCTGCAGGTCCTGAGCGGCATGTCCACGCACGTGGCTGGGGGCAGTGGGGTCATCGTGTCACTCCCTGCCTCCGGGACCCACACGGGCATCCATCAGGCACGGGCATCGAGGGCCTGCCCTGCCCCAGCAGAGTCCCATGGGGCTGGAGCCCACAAGGACAGGGCTACCCCCAGGGCTCCTGGGGAGGAAGCCACAGCCCAAGGGGGACCCAGCAAGGCTCCTGAGATGAAGCAGGCTCCGCTGTTGCCCGGTGGTTGAGCCAGGGCCGGCTGCTCTAGGTCTCAGCGGCCACAGCTGCAAGATGGGTACAGGAAAGCCAGCCTCGCTGTTGCCACATTAGGGACGTGGAAGAAGCCAGCAGACTCTCGGTTGGGCAGAAACAGGTGCAGACCCTCCCAAACTCACAGCCCTGAGGCAAACCAGCCCCCAAAGGTGCAGCCGGCTTGGACTGCCTTTTGTCTCCAGGAAAGTGGCGGATCGAGGAGTGGTTAGCTGGGCTCAGGGTGTTGAGAACAGGGCTGGTTCGCAGGATGCCCAAGGCTCAGCCCGGCCTGATCCAGCTCTGCATCTCACAGGTGGGTGTCTGGGGTATGGGGATTTCACTGTCCCCAGGCATTTTCAGCTGTGATTGTAACTCCTCTCTCTCCAACCCTGTGTGGCCGAGGGCCCTTGCCGGCCCCACTGGCCTGCCCAGCATGGAGCTGAGGGCACAGTCATCCCCGCGCTGCCCCTTCCCGTGCCCTCAGGGGCACCTCCCACACATGGTAGCTCACGGCACACGTGACAAGATGCTGCCACTTCTCAAAGTTTAAAGGGATGGGGTGATTTCTCTGCTCAAAACATTTTATATGTGTCATTGACTTTTGCATTGAGAGAATATTCCCTGCCTTTCAAAGAAGTCTGGTCCCTCCACTTAGAACCCACCGGATGCCCAAATCTGGCAGGAGGGGACTTGAGGAAATGCATCTGCTTCTGAGCTCGTCAGAGCTGTCAGAGCCCACCTGATCTTCAAGCCCATCCCCTGAGGTCAGCTTTCCCTTCCTTCTGTTACAGAGCAGAGGGCTAGGGGCCAGAGAGGGAAAGGGGCTTGCCTGGCAGGGGCCCACACAGACCCAAGACCCAGGGAGCTCCCAGGAAAAAGAGCGGACATGTCATGAACCTATGGCCACATCATGCCCCAACCAGCCACGGGGCAAGGGGAGCAGGGAAGCTTGGAAGGAGCATTTCTGGGGGATCCGGGGGCAGAGCCAGGGTGGGAAGCCCAGGCTGCAGAAAGAGAGAGTCCCTCCTCTTTCGTCTCCCTTCCAGCTGATTAAGAAGGAGTTTGGATTTGAGTACTGGGCCTTGTTACTAATCAGCCCCTTGGGACCTGGGGGTTCGGGTCTCTAAAGGACTCAACAGCCTGGAGGGGCTGCCAAAACAAACAAGAGAGAAGTCCGTGCATCATACCACTGTCTGCAGCCCATGGCCCGTGACAGTCACCTGGGAAGAGAAAGGACAATGCGGTTAAGGGTGCGGACCCCGGTCATCCCATCGTCCCGAGAATGCACACTACCTTGGGCGGGCCCCCGGCAGGGCTACACTCCAACACTCCAGGTTTGATGGAGCCCTGCTCCCCGCTCTGCAGCGGGGGAGCCTGGCTCCTGGGAGGTGCAGTGACTTGCCTAAGGAAAGACACCCAGAGCGCGGTGTGGGTGGCACCCCCTCCCCGGCCGTGTTTGTCAATCACCGTGGAGTAAACACCCCCGTGGGGGCCCTTCCAAGCTTCTAGCAGTTGAACAAGTTCTGGCAAAATTCCCAAGTATTTAGCCAGCCTTTCCTGGAGCCTGTACCACACCTGGCTCTACCCTCACCAGTAACTCTGACCCCAGGTTATTCAAAACCCCCAAGAGTCAATGGACACCAGCTCCTCGCCCCCTTCCAGAACACTCTGCAAGAGTTGTGTTCCACGGTCTCCTGAACTGGGAGAGGAGGACCAGCACGGACAGTGTTCCTTGCAACCATGGGCTTCCATGGCCTGCCTCGAGGCCCACGCAGATGGGCCCAACAGTGAGAACGATGGGAAGGCAAGTAACCCCAGGCTGACTCAGCGCCACCCGCCAATTGCCCTCTTAGAAGGTCCGGAGGGCTCTTGGAGCTCCAAGAGTGGGAAGCAGATCAGGACGGATGGAAATCAGCATGAGAGGGCCTTGGCCTGGCAAGAGTCCAGGAAGGACAGGGCAGGCTAAATGGCAGAAGGAGTGGGAAACAGGGGGAAGGGGGTGCAGAGGGGAGCCCAGAAGAAGGCAGAAACAGAGGGAAAAGCCTGTGTTCTAATCTTGTCCCCTCACACAAAACCCAGCCCTGATCCGTGAGTCTGGGAAGGGTGGGAGCCCCGTCTGGCAACGCGCCATGAAATCTGGGTGCTGTGAGAACTTTCCTGAGAGGACAAACATGAGCCCCAGAGCGGAAGCAGCTGGAGGGTGGGCTCAGGTCCTGTGGGCCCGGCCAGGCAGCTTCCCCGCTGCAGGACCCTCTGCACATGGTGTGCCCCCCACGGACGAGGAAACCACAGTCCCTGATCCTGCAGCAGACTGGCTCCCAGCGTCCTCCTCGGATGGGGACAAGGCACCCCCTCATCGCCTGGATTCCACTCTCCAAACTGGCAACTGGGAGAGATCTAGGCAATTGTTCGGCTGGGTGCCAAGGCTCAGCGGGACCAGCCTGCTGCCCAAGGACCTGCTCTGCCTCCCCTTCTGAACAACACGGCAAGGGCCTCTGTTTCCTTGTTGCATGCGGGCTTTACTCTATGCATGTGGAAACAACATGAAGGTCCACCGGACGACCCGCGGTCAGTGCCCAGCACAGCTCCGTTACTGTTACTGTTTTCTAACACCCCTGAGACCACAAGCCAAGGTTTTCAGGCTGTCCTATGTGGCTAAAAGTGATAGATAAGAGGGTAATTTTCCTAAAATAATTTTCCTGAATAATTTTCCTAAGTTCTGCAGACTCTAATGCCAACAGAGGGCTGTTGTGTGCCCACCCGCGCCCACCTTGGACCCCTGGTGACGCGTGTTGGGATGAGCCAGTGGCAGAGGGCGAGCTCGAGGGACCCCAAGCAGCAAAAGCCACCTGCTCCCCTAAGCGTGCAGGGGAGGGCGTTTCTGGGCATGCCGCCCGACACTCCGAAGTCTCTAGGGTCTAATGTGATCACTGGCCCGCATCCACCATCCCCTGCAGCATGAGAAGGGCGTCAGGCTGAACCAATACGTGAGGGGAAAAAGGGAATCCCAGGAAAGCAACCCAGGACCCTGCTTGGAACAGAATGCTCGTCTCTGCAGCTAAAGGTACTGAGTTAATGACAGGACAATGGGTCAAAGCATCATATCCATGCAGGGTCCTGTGCACGGGTGTCTGTGTCCGACGCTGACTGCTCAACCCCAGGGATAGATGTCGTGACTCAGAGGGTCTGCTCTGGAGCCCGAAACCTCCCAGACAGACGGCTGGGCTGGGGACCTCCAGCTCCTCTGCCCACGCCTGCATCCATGTGCCCGGAGTATAACAGAGCCCCCAAGCTGGTAGATAGACAGTGACCATCCCATACCACTGGAGGCCGGCAACCTAAAATCAGGGGCTGGCTGGCTGGGCCCTTCCATGGGATCTGAAGGAGGGTCCTCCCTGCCTCTCCCAGCCTCTGGGACCCCGACAACCCTGGGCTTGTGACTGCATGCCCATCATCACGTGTCCTTCCTGGTGGGTCTGTGTCCCAATCTGTTCCTCTCCTAAGAACACCTGTCATGGGATTTAAGGCCCAATCTCAGCCGGTTGTTGACATCCTCGTGCTCCTACTTTACCTGCAAAACCCCACTTCCCAGCAAAGACACAGCCACAGGTATGGGGACTCCATCATCTCTTGGTAGGGGAACACAATTCCACCCTGACAAGAAACCAGCACCAGTGCATGCGCCTTTGGGGAGCCCAGGGTTGGGGTGAGGTCGAGGGGGGCATTGCTGCTATGGCCACAGGGGGCCACGGGCCCCACTGAGCACTCCTGGCGGCCAGTCCCTGCCGACACCTACTGGATGGATGACGTCCTCACCAAACATCAGACTTAGTACTAAAAAAAGAACGTAAAATATCTCGTTCATAGTTTTTATATGGCCCCCGGGCGAGTGGGCACTGAAACAAGAGACTGGCTTACGTAAAACTGGTTTTTCAGGTGAATTTCCCCTGTGCTTCATTCCCTCTCCAGTGTGACCACTGGAAAATGTAAAAGTACCACGGGGCTGGCATCCTTGGGTTTAGAGACCCTGATCCAAAGGCTGGGGCTCCTTGATAACCCACACACGCCCGTTCCACCAGGTGACCACAAGGTGTCAGCATGTCTTCAACGAGGGGCCCAGCTGACCTGGGAGGGCAGGCTCCCTCCCGCCCTCCCTCTTCAGCCCAGGTTAGGTTGTTGGTCCCCGGCCAAGGGAACCAACATCTCTTCTAACAGATGAGAAACCTGAATGAGGCCAGAGAGGGTGGCCCATCTGCGCAAGGCAACATAGCAGAGAAGAGAGCCCAGGATTTGAACCCAGACCCGCCCAGGCCCTTGGAGCATGAACCTTGCCTCGGCCCATAGGCCCGAGGTGGAGGCCTCAAATCAGGCAAGGTACAAGGGTGGAGGGGAGGGTCCAGGCTTGCCCTGAGGCTCTAGGACAGGTACAAAAGGGACAGGGATAGTGGTCTCAGACACAGCAGCCTGGACACCAACTGTCCAGTCCCCGCCCGCGCCAGCCTGCTGTCAGGAAAAGCCATTTGGCTTCTGTGGACCGCACGTGGTCCTCTGTCCGGAGGGAAGACCGGACTGGAGCAAGGATTTCTCCTGGAAACAGTCCCCAATGCCACCTCGGGGCCTCAGCCCGAGCTCCCCCCACCCTTGCCTCAAGGTGAGGAAGGAGTGGTCTGTGCCAGCCTCCAGGGGAGAGGGCTGCCTTTCTCCCTCGGAAAAGGACAGGTTGGGGGGATTTCCTGGAGGAGGGGACCATGGTCCCTGAAAAAGCCTGATTCTAGACATTTCCTGCAGGGGAAGGTCCATCCATGACCCAGTGAGAGTTCAGTCCACATCCCGCCTGTGCACCTGTGCACACATAGGCACACACGTATGCACACGCACACACACATATGCACACGCACACACCCTGCCTGGGCCTTTCTGCAGCAATAGGGAGGAGGTAAGGGGTGAGGGCAAGGGCTGGAGGGGGTGGCGGTGAAAACCCAGACGGCAAGGGAAGAAAAAGGAAAGACTGGCATCGGTGCATTTGAGAGGGGAGTTTTCTCCTGGCACATGCACTTGGCTGTGCCACCATGTTCTCGGGTATCCCCAAACCCTGGCCTTTGAGAAATGTCCAGACCCCTGTGCCCAAAGGGACCCCCACCTCCGGGGACAAAGATGTCTGCTGCTGATAAGGACCCTGAGCACAGGGGACTAGATGCACTGACAACTCTGAACGCGAGGGGAAACTGAAGTCCGCTCCAGGGGGGGCCAGAGCCCAGGACTCCAGGTCCCCTGCCTCTACCCCACACTCTCAGGTGAGATCACACAGACAGGCACACCCCTTAGCCCTTTCCCAGAGCCCTCCAGGCACACCCACTCCCTCCCCGATGACCACGCACCCTCCCAGAGGACTGAGCCCCTTCCCGGGGCCCTCGAGCCCATTTCCAGAGATAGTGTTGTCCACATCACTGGCCCAAGGTGGCAGGAAGGAGTTAAGAGTTCGCTGCCGACCATAGCCTGCCCCATTCCTGGAAGGAACAGGGACCTTGGATGGCCTGTCCCCTGCAAAGTGCTGGCACCTGCTCCCTCGGACCCCACGGCAGGACACCCCACCCGCTGTGTCCTGTACCAAGGAGGACTCCCCTGGACAGCGCACTGAGCCCCTCTGCTGTCCCAGCTGCCTGCTGCACTCTGCCCTGGGGTTCCAGCCTCCCTGTATCCTGAGAGCCTGATGCCCCTTTCCAGCCCACCAGGACGCCCAAGGTCATGGGCGTGCGCGGGATGTGTTCAGGCCAGGGGTCGCTGGCCGCAGGAGAAAGTTCGCGGAGCGGGGTGAGAAAGTTACCGGCGGTACCCCGGGCGAGCGGGCACCCGGGCCGGGCGGCGGCGGCCAGCGCGGCGAGGAGCAGCAGCAGCGGCAGCAGCAGCGACGGCGGCGGGGGCGGCATGGTGGGCGGCGGGAGTGCGGCAGCGCAGTGATGTGGCACTCAGGCCGCGGGGCGAAGGCCGCTGGGCTCCCGCCCCCCAGGAGCGCAAGCGGAGTCGGGTTACAGCGCGGCCCACACTCTGCGCTGAGGGATGCGGGCGGGAGGGAGCAAGCGGAGCAGCCCGCTTCCGGCCCAGGGCCCGCCCCCAAGGCCCGCGCCCCCACGGGACTAGGTCTCCCTTGGCCCACCTGAGGCCCCAGGGGAGCTGACCTCCAAGACCCCTGCGGATCCTACCGAGAAAACCCTCTTTCCGGACAGGGCGGGTCTGGGGGCCAGGTGCTGACCCAGCTGGCTGTGCCCCAGGGCCAAGTCACTTCTCTGTCCCATGAGTGGAGGGAGGCGTGACCAGCACCCCCACCCACAGAGCCAGGCTCTGGGGGTTCCAGAAGAGCCTGTGGGGGATGATTAGGGACAGGAAGGGCAGGAGGCTTCAGGATGTCCTTGGCCAGCTCCTCTCTTCCCAGGGGGTTCTCTGCGCCCCGGGGAGAAAGCCCCTCCTGGTTGTTCCAGCAGAGCCTGGGGCAGGGAGCCTGGCACCAGGGTCCTCAGTGAAATGTGGCCGGCCTCACCTGGCTCATCAGAGGGGGCAACAGACCAACCCAGGTGTGGCATAAAGTCTCATAGGGGTGACCCCCCTCCCTTCTAGATGAGGGGGTAAAGGCAATTGGGGGCGCTGAGATGGTCCAGGGCAGACAGCCCTGCCTGTGTGACCCCACAACCTGGGTGAGTGGGAAGACTTCTTCCCACTATCCCCAGCCCATGCCTGCATCGTCCACAGCCATCCTGGCAGGAAATCGAGGGGCCTGGGAGGAGGGAAGCCCAGTAGAGTGGCCCCAGAGCCCCCAGCTCACTGTCTATCTGCCCAGAGCCTCTCTGTCTTCCCGGGACCAGGACTGCTTTGGGATTCAGCCAATGCCTTTGAAGCACCCTGTCCGTGGAGCTCAGCAGGTGCTGTCTCTGCCGTCCAGATGTGCACACATCTGCTTGCCAGCCACTTGTCACAGCGCACAGCTGCAGTCCAGCCCCTGGTGTGCTCGCACCCTGGGCCCTGGGAACACTGCCCACTAGACACCTGGCTCCACATCCCAGCAGGGTTCCCTGGACCTGTCCCTCCCCTGCTAGGCCATCGGCCCAGACAGTTGTTAGCATCCGTGTGCCTTTATGGGACTCCTTTACCAACTGTCCTGGGTGGCGGGGAGGCCTGACCCTGTAGCCAGATACCACTCAGCCCCAAGACTTTGGACAGGCCTCTTAACCTGGAGTCCGGGACTTGACGCTGCCTGCTATGGGGTAAACATTGGACAAAAGCTTCAATCCATCTGTGGTCCCAAGAACGAGCAGCTCACTCCTGCTTATTGACTCGAGATGCCCTTTTCGGCATCTGATGTCTCATGCCGCCCTCTGTCCACCCAGACCGCAGCTGGTCCTTCCAGAAGTCTCCAGGCTTGCTGCAGCCCAGGCATGTTCCTTTGACTTTCCCGTCTGGGGTCTCCGCTCCAAGCTGGGAGGGCAAATTCAGAACCCACCCTTCCTGAGTGCCAGCTGGTGGGTGCCCATTCTCAGGGAGGTTTTGCCCTCCTCCCCACGTGCCAGCAGGAGGCATGTAAGTCTCCTTGCTGTCCCTTCCCGAGGACAGGTCAGGTTCTCACGGACGCTGAGCCTGCCGCCCATATGTGGCCAGATTTGTGTGGGCATCTCCTATTACAGCCCTCGATGTGGGTTTGTTTTTCTGTCTGAGTGGTATATAAAATAATGATACTGTTTCAAACCAGTGGTTTCTGAGATTTGGGAAAGAGAAAGGGTCATGTTAGCTATTGTTATTTTTAAGGACCCAGTGGGAGAATTCAGTAATCCCCTCTGGGACCTACCTCTCTCCTCCCCAGTTAAGTTGGCAGGAACTGTCTCTCACCCAAGTCCTCTTGTCCCAGGGAGGATGAGGTCACGCCGCCACCAAGTGGCCTGACAGGGCAAATCCCAGGCAGCTTAACCCTTTCCCAGGGCCAAGGGCTGTGCAAGTCCTCCCCGGCCCCCAATCCCTGCCCTGCCCAGCTGCCCCTGGGACATTTGGCCAAGAGGGGCAGGGCAGCACATGGCTGGGCCCAGGAGAACCAGCAGGTGCAGACACAGCCTGAGCCTGAGCCTGCAAGAGCTCGGTTGCTCGGCCGGGTGGCAGAACGCATGGGGTCAGCTTGCAGCACAAGTCGCTGGGGGGGAAGCCTCAGGGTGTCATGGAGAGAAAATGGACTCTGCCATCCCTCATAGGTCACTTCCCCAGGTGGCCAACCCTGAGCCCGTGAGCCTGGAGACCTCCACGGAGAAGAGGCTGTTGCCCATCTCGGGGTTCATGATTAGGGGAGTCCCTCTGCAGCTGGGAGATAGTTCCCTTGGCACCCCTCCTTTGGTGCCCACCTGAAGGGTCCAGGCCCATGGGCGCAGCACCCAGACCCCACCCCTCCCCAAGCTTCTTCTGGGACAGCACTCATCTTCCTGAACTTAGGGGGCTTAACTCCTCCAGAGAGCTCTCCGGAACCTGCTGGGCACTGGGGAGACATTCTCATCACACAGCCCCAGGGGAACCTGGAGTTGCAACTCTTCAGGGTGGGGAGTGCTTCCTGCCCTGTGGAGTCTCAGGCTCTCTGGGAATTAGATGGGAACTAGGGACCCCCCACCCTCCTGTCCCACAGAAGAGCATGTGCTGTGCTGTTAGCTACTGGCTCGTGCCCTGGGAAAGCAGAGAGTTTGCAGGAGGACTGAACCCCCATGGGGCGAGTCTAGTCCCACGCTTCTCGGAAACCCAGCAGGGACCCACTTTCCTGGTAGTTAGACAGCTGGCTTCAGGCTGCTGCAAAGGCAGCACTTTTCCCTTTGCAGAGAAATGAGAGACCTTTGAATAAAACGTTTATTGATTCACACGGCGCTTGGGACATGACACCATTTTGCAATACATTTACGTGCACATGGAAAGGATCTTTCAAATATTTAAAAAAAAAAAAAAACCTGCATGCTCAAGGTGAAAGATAACACGGGGAGTGAGAAAATGTTCTAGAATGCCCAGCATGAACACGACTAGTGGCCCTTGCCCGGGAGGCACCTGTGCCTGAGTGGTCTTCTGGAAAATTCCCTGGTGGCTTCAGGGAAGGCAGAACAGGAGAGAAGCCTTCATCCCCTTCAATGAGTGTTGTCTTGTCCCAGCCGTGGCATTTTCTAAGGGACAGGGTACATATAGTCCTCCACATGGATTTAGGGCTTCCTGGCAAGTCTGTGATGGTGGGCTCCAGCCCAGCTGCCTGGCGTGCTTCTCCCCCCAAAGAGGTTCCCGGGAAGGAGAGAGGGTTCAATCTGCAGGTTCACAGCCTGGCTCTGAGTTACATGTGAGGCAACAGAGACGAATTTCTTCTTAGCAAGCACTTGGGGGTGCCCAGGGGACTCCAGGCTCCAGGCCCACGTGCCTCCTGTGAACCAGGTCAGTGAAGCCCAGCCACCCCCTGTCCCCCACACCTGCAATGGCCAGCCCAAGGCTGGAATGTGGCTTTCCTCGAACTGCCTGGGTGGGTATTTTTTTAACTGCTTCCTGACCACATACTTAGTTATTATTATCCCTAAAAATAATTTGTTTCCTTTGAATTGCACTTTATAATTCTTAAGGACTTAAATATATCCTACTGGCAGGGAGGCATTGGAGAATCGCCCAAAGCAGCCAAAGGACCCCTCCGGGGGGTGGGAAGAACTTGCCAAGCTGGGTCCAGCAGGCTGTAGACTGTCCCTGCCGCCCCGGTGGGCCCCAAGGAGTCTGTGTGTGTGTCTGCAAGGAAGGGGCTCAGGACCTGGGCTGGGGGAGCAGTGCTGTGGGCTCTGCAGCAACCCATGGGACGGGGGCCTCCCAAGCGTCCATCCTACCACGTGCTGGGCCCCATCCTGCAGCCCAGCCCCGGTTCTGCAGGGGATGGCTGGGGCCCGACGAGGAGAGCAAACGGCCATGGAGAGGGAACGGTGCCCATTCACCCCTCATACAACACGCCCTGGCGGAGGACCTACAACACGCTGTGCGCCATTCTAGTTTTGAGCCATGAACTGTAACAGATGCACACACAGGTCCCGGACGCTGTCCTGTGGGCCCATCTAGTGACAGGGACTGGGATTCCCTCCCCCTCACCGCCAGCCTGAGGGAAACCCTAGCCTCTCTTGGCTCCCCCCGGTGTGGAGCAGAGTGGCTGCCGTGGGAAGCAAGCCCCACTCTCAGCAGCCAGTTGGGATGCCAGCCAGGACCCACAGGAACCGCTGGTGGAGCTGGGGGTCCATGCAGAGGTTGGCCGTGGCCCTGCTGGAGCTCGGGTACTCGCTCAGGACCCCCCAGGGCTAACGGTGACAAAGGGCACGCGCTCCACTAGGCTGTCTGGTGGATGAGCAGGTATTTTAGCAGCAGTAACCACGCCCACATACATACCTGGGCGCTAGAGGTTTGGAAGGCTCTAGAACCACAGAGAGTACAGACGACAACCCTTACCAGCTCTGTGCACGCTCTCTGAGCCTTAGGCACGTGTCTCCAGTGACGGGCGTCGGGGGCGGAGCTTGGGGACAGCACAGCCAGGTCAGCGTGCGGAAAGTCTTGCCTGGCGGGCACCTGCCACGTCAGACACAGGAACCAAATCAGAGCCTCAGGGCCCCTCGAGTGGCTGGCGATTTAACCTGTGAGCGTTCCTACACAAGGGCTGTGCTGTTGCTCCCGAAAGAGTCTCTCTCCCCCTGCAAGGCGGTGCTTTTGTTCTGGTCTTTTTGTAATTGCTGCAACTGTTTTTGAAATCTTCTCTTGGGAGTTGATTTCAGAACTGTGACCCATTCTTAGATTCTTCCGTGGACACCTTGAAGGTGGATTTAACCCGGTTAGAAATAGCACAGAGTCCCCCTGAGCTCCGCCGTGGTGGTGTGGAGGGTAAAGGAGCTGGGAACTCGGGGACTTTCCTCTTCTGGTTCTTGGTCATCGCCCTTGGGTTGTATTGAGTCAAACGCCGGAGTGGATTAAGATCCCAGGTGTTCAGCATACTCACCTCCAGAAGTCCGCAGTCGGGGGTGGGGATGGGGATGCAGATGGACACAGACCCAAGGTGCTGCTCCCCCAAACTTAGTCCCTTCCTACCCCTCCCTCTCTGGAGATACCGCCTGTCCCCATTGACCTGCAGTTCCTGCCATGAGAACAAAGAGCCCCGTGAGGCGGGACTAAACCTGGCCCAAAGCCCGGCCCACAGGAGGTGCTCAACAAACACTGAGTGAGTGAACGAGAGGCACCCCTTCGTGAGCACTCCTGGCAATCTGAAGAGGTTCTCTTATCTTATGCATGGTTCCCACAAAGGGCTTGGGGACATGCATCACAGACAAGAGGGTGTGAGCTGCCTACGTCCCCCAAGTGCACACAGCAGAAACCGGCCTTCCAGTGTGTGCACTGAGGCTCTGCCTCTGCAGCTCTTCTTGCTGCACACGTGTATGCTCATGCACACGCATGCTCCCATATACACACGAGGGTCCTCGCAACCGATATGACATGAAAGTGAAAGCCAGCCATCGACATAGAGTGGCTGGGAAATCAAGGCTCCCTCATTACTCATTCACAATCTCAAAGCAAACACTGAAGCCGGGTCATGGGAAGGAGCTCTTGAAACTCCAGCACCCACCCCTGCACATGCACACACACACACGCGCGCGCGTGCATGTATACGCATGTGTGCACACAGACACTGTACCAGATCACTTTGCCGGCTCCCGGGAGAATGGCATGATTGTCTCTCCACAACGGCACACATGAGACAACATAAGAACATGAGATTACTGGCCAGGCTTCATGGGATGAAGCATGATGACGTCTATGGTCCGTGAGAGATCCACGCTGTGCTGGGGCCAGATGGTGGGGGTGGGGCGCCAGGAGCCATGGGACTCCACACTCTGAGCATTGATTCCAAGGAGCTCTCAGCGGGGGCTTGACCCTGAGGATGGAGCCTGCCTCACTTGGCACGGACAATCCAGAAGCCTCCCCCACCCGTGGGAAGCCTGGGTGCTCTCCCAGTCATGCCTAACAACCCAAATGACCCGAGGGGGCAGACAGCCTGAACAGACAAGTCAACTGCCCAGGGCATCCTAGAGCTGCCAGTGGATGCTTGTTGGAACAAACCAGGAGCATGGCACCATGCCCAGTGCCCCCCGCCCCTTGGGTGGGTGGCCCGGGCCAGAGGCTGAGGACCTTCAGCTCCTCCCAGGAGCCACTTCCCTCAAGGTGTCCTTCTGCTTTAGCCCAAAATGGGATGTGGGGACCGCCCAGGGAGGTTGACTCCAGCAGGGGCCTGGCCACAGAAAGAGTGCCACGAACCCCAGAGGCGGGAACACAGACCCATCACACTGGCCCCCCTACATGTGGTCTCCCCAAGTCTCCTATCAGCTCCAGGTCAGGATCTGCAGGGAAAGGGATGGGAGGAAGAGCAAAGAAAACACTGACTCAGTGTGACAGTGACCTTGGCCTGGCCCTTCCCCCAGTATCCCTGAATCCATGCCCAGGGGATGCTGAGTCTGAGGCCTGGATTGACCCCAGACCACCTAACTGGCTCTAAAAGCTTCCTACAACTGAAAAGAGTCAGGCCCTAGCTCAGAGACCCCACCCTTGCCTGGCCCAGCCTCAGCGTCCTGGAGAGGGGCAGCTTTCTCATTGACAGCAAGGGTGTGAGGCTGCTGCTGTCTCCATCCCGGGGCCTTTGACAAGAGCTCAGGTGAGGCCCTGGCTGCCTCAGGTGCAGAGGAAGGGCAGCTTCCCTCCAGGTCCCCAGTGGGGAGACCTCAGAGGCCTGCCTACCTGCCTGAGGTTGAACCCACTTCCCAGCAGCTCCCAGGACAGGGGCCTGAGGGCCCAGACTCACTGGGTCACAACTCATGAGGCAAAGCTGATGATGAGAGACCCACTGAAGAAGCCAATCTGCCTGGCAGCCTCGGGTGGGGGTGCTTGTGCTCACTGAGGCAGCGCTGGGGGCACGGAACAGAGGACAGAAGTTAGGGCACCCGAGGGTGGGGGTTAGAGCTAGCACAGATCCGAGAGTCAGCGTGGGCCGCTTCCAGGGGGACGTCCAGGCCAGAGAGCCCAGGGACGAGAGAGAGGAAAGACAATGGAAAGAGCTGTTTTGTTAGTAAAGGTAACATAACAGAGGTCTGGAGACCTGGAAGGAGGGGACGATGCCCACCTCCTCCATAAGCTGCTGCCCTCCCCTCCCCACTAGCTCTCTCTTTCCCTGGGACAGAGGGTCTAAGTCAGTCCTGCAGAGGGAGGAGCACAGCTGGATCCTCACGGAGGGAGAGGACCTGCGTCCTAAGGCAGTAGACTGGTGGGGGGCTAGGGGAGGGGGCAAGTCCGGGGAGGGAAGGTGGGAGAAGGGGCAACCACTAGCAGTAAATCCAGCTGGAGAGTCCATGGGCAAATGCACGGCAAGCCGTGAGAAGACAGAACCCGGCAGACCCTCCCCAAGACCTAGACCCCACAGCAGGGAAGGGCAGTGGGTAAACAGGGCAGAAACTGGAAGGAGTGTTCAGATCCACACCCACCTGCCCCAGAAGAGGAGTGACTGACTCCTCCCACGGTAGGGGGAGAATGCTTGTTTCTCCGGTGGCTCAGACCTCACAGCTGGTACAGAAGCTCACTGTGGACACGGACTCCACAGTGACTCCATAGGCAAACACAGACACTAAGAAGTGCCTGGTCCTTCCAGTGTGTGGACTCACTGAGAGTCCAAAGAAGCAGGTGCAGAAACCCGGTAGCAGCGTGCAGGGGAAGCCACACAGTGACAGAAGCCCTGGGGCAGGTGCCTTGCCTGCAGGCTTCTGGGAACTGGCCACCAGTGGGGAGCGCAGGAACCGGGTGCAGCCCTCTGGGCTGGGTGGGATGCAGGTGCAGGAGCAGCACAAGCACCTGCATGGGGACGATGTCGAGGTGCTGGCAGCGGCCCTGTGCCACCAGCAGCATCCTGCACCTGGGGAGGCCGAGCACCGGGAGCAACAGCACAAAGCCGGCAGTGTGGAGCTGGCAGGCCACCAGTGGGAGAAGCAAGCAGGACACGAAGGCTCCCCTATAGAGGAGCCATGAGCAAGAGAGCACTGCAAACAGGAAGGCCAATGACTGTTCCCACACCTAGGCCACCGCCAGCCACTGTTCTGCACTCAGCACCTCTGTGCTTGATATGGAGTTGGACTCCAGGAAGGTGTCCAGGAAGCCCACAGCCTGGTTCCGCTAGGCCCAGAAAACAGCCCCCAGATCAGAGTGCTCAGCAGCTTGAAGGGTCTGTCAGATGCCGCCAGCAGCTGGTGGCCCAGGGACAGGTTCACCAGTAAAGCGTCCAAGCCGCAAGGGCGCATGTGCAGCCCTCTCTCTAAGTGCCGCGGAGCAGCCCCAGCGACACAGTCAGCGGTGCCTTTCCCTGGCCCCTGGCGCAAGCGGCTGGCCAGGCTCCCAGGGAACAGCGGCTGCAGATGCCGCGCTCATGGTTCCGCTCCGGGCGCAGGAGGGGAAAGTGGGGCGGTGGACGGGCGCGCTCTTGGAGTCCCGGAGATCCACAGCCCACGATCACGGTTCGGAGCGCCGTGCGAAAAGGGGTGGCAAGCACGGAGCCCCTGGCAAGTACGCAGCCAAGCGCGCTGTGCTGCTGAGCTGGGAGGGTCCCGGCGAGGGGGGCGGAGGGCAACGCACCGGTCACCTCCTGCAGCGCTGTCCAGGGTGCTGAACGCGCTCGCCGTCTCCCTGCCCCGCGCCAAGCTGCCCGCAGCACCATCCCGCAGCGAATCTAGGGGGGAGGGGGAGGGGTCCTGGGGTCACGGAGGTCTCTGCAGTCGCCACATGCAGCGGCTGGAGGGAGCTCCACGCCCTTCTGTCCCACACCAGGACGGTCCTTACAAGGGTCACACCTCCTCCTAATCCAGAGCCTCCTGGCCCAGCTGGGATGCTTAAAAGCTGTCCACTTCTCCCTGGTTGTGTTGCCTTTTTCAGCGCACCTCCCCCTCCCCTGTGCTGGCACCAAACTGGAGTGTTCCAGCAGTCTTGGGGCAAGGGGAAGCAGGGAACGGCGGCTGAGGGGCAGGGAACTGTGCTGGATGGGCAGACAGAGCTACAGGAAGAAAGCCCAGGTGTGCCTGGGTGGCGGTGCCCTTTCCCAGCCCCAGTTCAGGGCCAGGGATTGGATCTCTGTTTGCTGAACAAGAAGGGTGGCAAGAAATGGAAATGGCATGGGAAGAGAAATGAGGGAAGGAAGGAGAAAGGGAAGGAGAGGTAAGGGAGAGAAAAGCAAAGAGGAGGAGAGAGGGAAAGTGGGACAGCCTGGGAGGCATGACTCCCTGCTTGGTGCAGTATGGAACCCCCTTTAGAGCTGAGCTCTGCCTCTCCAGCTAGCTCCTGGAGGCCCTGGGAGAAAGGGTCTGTCTCTCTCTCCCCCTCTGCTGCTGTCTTTGGGCTCCTGAACCTGTAGGAATCTTCCAATCCCTTCAGTGGCCAGTTGGCAGGACAAGAATGGAGGGAAGACACTTGGAAGCTGCCAAGTTCTGGGAAGCTCTTTGGCAACTTCTCTTTTTGGCAGCCCTGACATGAAAGGAGCCAGAAGGCAGTGGCCCTGTCTTTCCCCACTCACCCACTCTCACTCAAAGGTTCTGCAAGCCTGGCCCTCTCCCAGGGACAGAGTGTGGCTAGTGGGGAGGGGGCTCACCTTCATGGGGGTCTCCCTGGTGCCATTGCTATAAGGACTGGAGAGAACACAGGTGGCTGGAGGAATAGGGTGGGCAACCTGCACGGTCCCCTCACCCCAGCCACATGGCCTTGGACAAGTCATTTCTTGGGTCTTCTTTTCTAATATGTATAACAGGGATATTAATAACTATCAATCACACCTGACTTATGTGGTTGCAATTAGGAGTTAACTAATAAATATAGAGAGAGGGTTTCAAACAGTGCCCGGCACGCAGTGAGTAGTCAGAGAAATGTCAGCCTTTAACATGACTCCATTTTGTAGTTGGGAACAGGGAAACTTAGATAAGTCAAGTGTCTCTTCCAACCTCACATAACTAGAAACCAGGGGCTCTGAGAACCAAACTCAGTCCTTCTGGCTCTGACCCAATATCCCGTCACCCTTCCAAGTGACCTCCTACAGAGGATATCACACCAATTCCAGGCCCAGCCTCCATCCTCCAAAGGCAGTGGCTTCCTCTCTCGCTCTCTCTCCCACTAAATGCTTTCAAATCCAAGAGTAATTCTCATCAGATCAGACCTTGTCTGACACCAGAGCTGTAAAAACAAAGCTGTCCCTCCTGACTATCCTGGGAAGAGCAGGCAGCTCTACAACCCCAGATGTTACCTGGGGCACTGAAGGTGGCCATGACAACAAGGCCGCAGGGGTTTCGCCCATCCCTCCATGACTCCATGACTCCAGTGGCCATCTGTGTATCAGCGGGTCAGTGGAGACATCAGATGCTCCGTGGGGAGACTTCAATCCAGCCAGTGACAGCAGCTCCTGTGCCCTTTGAACATCTCCAAGGAGAGACAAATTCCAGGCAGGTTGCTTGGGGGGCCAAGAGCAGCATTCTGAGACATGAGTGCAGGAAAGCTTTGCCCATCAGTGTTACATAAAGGCAAGCCATCTGTTCACCCACAAGGATTTCTGGGTGCCCCATGTGCATAACGGGACTATGTCAGACAGGACACAGACTGTGGAGATTAATAAGATTTGATCCTCACACTTTGATGAGCAGAGAGGAGATTGGACAACATAAGACCTGAAACACAAGCTCACTGACCTCCTATAAGAAATAACGATTTTGGGGTGCCTGGGTGGCTCAGTCGGTTAAGCGTCTGCTTTTGACTCAGGTCATGATCCCAGGGTCCTGGGATTGAGCCCCACGTTGGGCTCTCTGCTCAGCAGGGAGCCTACTTCTCCCTCTCCCTCTGCCTGCTGCTCTGCCTACTTGTGCTCTCTCTCTCTGTCAAATAAATAAATAAATAAATAAATAAATAAATAAAATCTTTTAAAAAAAGAGAAATGATGATCTTATTTTTTTAAAGATTTTACTTATTTATTTGAGAAAGTCAGTGAGGGCAGAGGGAGAGAGAGACAAGCAGACTGATCATGTGTGTCCTGAGCTGAAATCAAGAGCCAGGTGCTCAGCCCACCGAGCCAGCCAGATGCCCCATTGATCTTATTTTTTTAAGACAAATGAATTGTATCAATTATAATGAAATACTGTCACTTGTGAACCAACTCATGTCCACAAATGTGCATTGGAAGTTTGTTATGTGTACTCAGGGAGGAGGAAAACATGTGTAAGTAGAGAAAAGAACAAGTACTAATGGAGGGTATCAAATTTTACTTAATTTTAAGCATATTTCATGATTGCACTTATCTCTTTTAACTGTATTTAGTTCCACCGCAGCCCCCCGGGGATGGGTATTCCTGCAGTAACTGGTACTCTGTTGATAAGATCACAGGGCTCAAACCCAGGGGGAAGGGGCAGCCCAGGCAGTGAGATCTGAGCCCTGAGGCTCTGGGGGACAGGGGGGAGTGCAAAACGTAAATATGGACCTCGATCCACCAGTATGGTCCCTCCGGTCCTCGGCCTTTCAGGCAAGCATCCCCAAGGAATAATCTGAAATATCAGGAAAAGTGCAGGGAATGGAAGGCAGGAAAGAAAGAGAAGTGGAGGAATCAGTGCACAGCAGAAAGCCAGCAAATGGTTACTAGGTTCCCCCAGGGCAGAGTGGGCTGCTGCGGCTCACAGGCGTCCGTAGGGTTCAGCCTAGTGTGTGCTGTTTGGTGGAAACCACGGGAAACATGTGGCCGTCTCAGCCCTAAGCAATGCCTGGGAAAGCAAGGATGCGATGTGCCCGCCCACCAGGGCGGTCAGAGACATGGCGGGATTATGAGCACCTGGGGTTTGTTCTGCTTCCTCATACTTTCCTATAACTCCCGCATTTGCTGTAGGAGCAGGAGCTGCGTGACAATAGGAAATCGCTCAGGAAGAAAGGTCCTGTTGAAGTCCTCCGTCAAAACTCCACGTGGTGTTGTCCCTTTTTCAGCCCAGACTCTGCCCTCCATGACCAACTGGTTGGTCAGCTTTGGAGCATCTTGGTTTTATAAAACTGTGGTAGACATGATTGTCCCTGGAAGGGGAGGCAGGGAGCAGAGAGAGGAAGATGTGGGTTGAAATTCCCCAGGCTTGCAGAGGGGTGGGTGACCAGATGGGCACGCCTCGGACACCACGCTCATCATCATAAATAAACTTTCCAGTCAGTTCCTTAGTGAAGCACAGAGGGTCCCAGAGCCCTGGGGAGATGGCATCTGTGCATGCAGGACAGAGATAGGAACAAGCCAGAAACCGGACATGACCCTGGTGGACAGAGGCTGTGGCAGAGGGAGGCCCAGGGCTCCCCCAGGGCCCCCAGATGGCTCCTGACACAGCCTGGTTCTCCCCAGAGTCAGGACGACAAGACTCCAGCCAAGAAGGGGCAAGTACGAGACAATTGGATAATGCAGACAGGTTGGTGGGAAGCTCATGGCTGTGGACCATGACGGGGACAGATGTGAGGAAAGCTCAATGGCAGACTGTGTGAGCTAGGTCTGTCCCCAGGGCTGTGGGACAACCCCCTGCCAGCCCTGCAGGGGCTGTTTGGATCTTTGGTCTGGCGGCCCTGGAGACCTTTGGGGTCTTGGCCTGTGCAGCCTGGGTTCCTGCTGCCCGGAGCTTTCCGCAGAGGAGAGCCCCACCCTGAGTGAGGAACCCACAGATGGAGGAAGGGGAGTCTCAGAGAGGTCCCGGAGGTGGCCTGGTTCCCTTGCCTACCTGGGCCGCCTCCATTGGTCCAGAGACCCCAGAGCCTTCAGACCACACCAAGCCCTTTGCCTGGTTTTTCCCGCTGAAGCCCTTGAAAATCAGGGATCCCTGCTCAGATGCCCCTGCTTTCCCATCCCACCCCTCCTCCTGCAAGAGGCAAAAGGAGAGCCTCCTCTTTCCTAAAACACAGGAACGGAAGGATTTCCAGCGGGGCTGACAACCTGACTCAGTGTCAGCCGGGGCCAAGTTTGTCTTCCGACAGCGGGGGAAGGCGCCGGGGAAGGAGGTTTCTGCTTTGGAGCCATTTGAGCCTGGGCTCAGATCCCTGCTCTCCAGCCCTTCCGAGCAAAGTGAACTTAGACTCTGCGAACCTCTGTCTCCTCATCTGTGAAACGGGAACATGACGGCAACAGACTGAATGTTCGTATCTCCAAAAGTCACGCGTGGAAACTCTACTGCCCAGGGAGGTGGCCTCAGGGAGGCGGGGCCTCTGGGAGGGGCTCAGGTCCTGGGGGCGGAGCCTCTGCTGTATTGCACATTCATTGGCA